CCCCTCCCCACAATAACAACCAAAACAGAATCCCCCTCGTCCTCACGTACCACCCCACCAACCTCCGGATCCAACGTATCATCCTCCGACACTTCCGCCATCTGCAATCTGACCCTACGACCAAAGACATTTTTCCCTCCCCACCCTTATCTGCTTTCCGGAGGGACCACTCTCTCCGTGACTCCCTTGTCCGCTCCACACTCCCCTCCAGCCCACCACACTCGGCACTTTTCCCGGCAACCGCAGGAAGTGCTACACCTGCCCCCACACCTCCCCCCTCACCCCCATCCCAGGCCCCCAGAAGACCTTCCACATCAAGCAGATGTTCACCTGCACATCTGCTAATGTGGTATACTGTATCTGCTGTTCCCGTCGTGGCCTCCTCTACATCAGGGAAACCAAGCGGAGGCTTGGGGACCGCTTTGCGGAACACCTACGCTTGGTTCGCAGTAAACATCTGCACCTCCCAGTCGCGAACCATTTCAACTCCCCCTCCCATTCCTCAGACGACATGTCCATTCTGGGCCTCCTGCAGTGCCACAACGATGCCACCCAAAGGTTGCAGGAACAGCAACTCATATTCCGCTTAGGAATCCTGCAGCCCAATGGTATCAATGTGGACTTCACAAGCTTCAAAATCTCCCCTCCCCCTACCGCATCCCAAAACCAGCCCAGCTCATCCCCGCCTCCCTAACCTGTCCTTCCTCCCACCTATCCCCTCCTCCCAACTCAAGTCGCATCCCCATCTCCTACCTACTAGCCTCATCCCGCCCCCTTGACCTGTCCATCCTCCCTGGACTGACCTATCCCCTCCCTAACTCCCCACCCACACTCACCTTTACTGGCTCCATCCCCGCCTCTTTGACCTGTCTATCTCCTCTCCACCTATCTTCTCCTGTATCCATCTTCTATCCGCCTCCCCCTGTCTCCCTATTTATTTCAGAACCCCCTTCCCCTCCCCCATTTCTGAAGAAGGGTCTAGGCCCGAAATGTCAGCCTTCCTGCTCCTCTGATGCTGCTTGGCCTGCTGTGTTCATCCAGCTCTACACCTTGTTATCTCAGGTTTTAGCTCATGTGGGATTGGGGAAATAGAAAGAAATTGGCCCTTCAGAAAAGATGACAAACTAATATAAAATGTGGAGATATCTCAAAATCAGCATGCGAGAAAACCAGCACCATCTCTTCTCCATTCTCAGGATTAATTTGTTGCAGGTGCAGTATTAAGATTAGCAGGAAACCATCAGTAGATCATCTGGCATAGGCTCTTTCTGCACTGTACTGCTCACTTTATACATAGGGGCAATGTGTTAAAAGTTTGTGATTCAGTAGCAAAATCATTTCAATTGTAGAATCATAAGATTGCTTGCCATGTCTTACCAGAGCACAGGGCTGCTGTCTCATTAGAGAGAGACAACTGGTGGTGGTTTAACCTGAGGGTCACCACACCACAAGTAAGGAACAAGGTTGAGAAGGAGAGTCCTTCATGGTAACCTCAGCCAATGAGGGAACTGAACTCATGCTGTTGACATCAAATCTGCATCACAAACCAGCCATCCAGCCAAGTGAGCTAACCAGTAGCAACTTTATGTGAAATGGCTTTAAGTGAAGTGTGGCTTCCAACAGTAATCTATGTAAAAGCCAGAGTTAAGTTTCTCTGGACATCCTTTGCTTGGAAAACAACATGGACAGGTTCAGATAACAAGGTGTAGAGCTGGATGAACACAGCAGGCCAAGCAGCATCATAGGAGCAGGAGGCCTGCTGTGTTCATCCAGATCTACACCTTGTTATCTCAGATTCTCCAGCATCTGCAGTTCCTACTATCGTGGACAGGTTGATATACTGTGCACGTGTGGATTGTGTGTTTCTAGCTGAAATAGATGGAATAAAATAAACCACAAAATTTAAAAGAAGCATTACATACTTAGATACTTCTCTCCTTTCTCTGCAGAAAATAACTTTAAAATATTATTAAGTTATAGAGTTACAGAGTCATGCAGCACGGAAACAGACCTTTCGGTCCAACCAGTCCATGCTGAACAAAATCCCAAACCAAACTAGCCCCACCTGCCTGCTCCTGGTCCATATCCCCCCAAACATTTCCTATTCATCTATCTATCCAAGTGTCTTTTAAACATTGTAATTGTACCTGTGTCCACCAGTTCCCCAGGAAGTTCATTCCACATGCGAACCACCCTCCGAGTAAAAAAATTGCTTCTTATGCCTTTTTTAAATCTCTCTCCTCTCACCTTGAAAATGTGCCCCCTAGTCTTGAAATGCCCCATCCTAGGGAAAAGACAACTACCATCAACTCTTTCAAACCCCTCACTATTTTATGAACCTCTATAAGAAGCTCTTGAAATGGTGTGCATTCCTAAATGCTTACATTTATAACATATGAAAAAATATAGGGGGAAACGACATAAATGCAGGAACTGTAAATACGGGAAGTGTTAAAATTACACCTGACCTGATGAAGTTTTAACAGATCAGGCTCCATCTCTTGGCAGTCACTGGTCAGTGTAGGTTGAAAACTCACACCAATACAAGGCCGCCTCTAGGTGGAGCCCAGGACTGC